AGGCAGTCCTCATCCATAAGTAGTCAGCGTTTTCATTTCTCAGAAGACAGAAGAGGATTTCTGAGCAATATTGAGCCCACCTGAGATTTGATAGTTGAAGTGGCTTTTTCCCTCGTTTCACTTTGTCCTATTCAGAATCTCAGCTCTAGTACTGGAGAAGGATTTAATGTAGGATTTAGGGCCTTGTGTAGGGCAGGAGGGATACAAGAATAAAGGGTAAAGATGAAGAGATCCTTGTGCTAATGTAGTACAGGGGCTAGGTTAGTTAGGGAAAAAATGATGTTAGGGAGAAAAGTGAAAAGGGAAGAATCAAGAGGAGAATCAAAATAAGGTTCAGAAACAGGCTTTTTGTGAAAAGCTTGAGAGCATTACCGATTATGTTGCCTGGATACCTAACCTATTTTCAATGTTGGGGAAACATCAGGAGAGGTAGGATCATGACTTGGATTGGTTGAGATAATTATTTTTTTTCTAAGAACTCTTCTAGCTCTAAAATGTCTGTATTTTTAATTATATTCCTCTCCCCCATAAAGCCTCCAAATGATGATAATCTATAAGAATCTTGAAAAATTAGGAACCGAATTTATAAAATACATTCCTCCCTTTAAGAGTATAGTTGACATCTAATAATTAACCTTAAATAGGGCAAAAAAAAGAGTAAGAATAACACTGTTTTCTCTTTTCCATATTCTCTTCCTAAGAGCATTTATTCTTTCAAATAGTTATATATTTTTCAGGGAAAAGGGGTGGAATTATTAAAAGATGGTTGTAAAATAGCTGATGGGCATCTTAAAATTCTTACATAAGAGATATTAGTATTGTGTTTTTATACAACTTAGCCAGGATTAATGAGCATAACATTTGCTTCATTTATAAATTAATTTGGACACTTTTTACACTTCATTATCCATTCTGCGTAAATTTTTTGATGAGTTAGTTTGCTTAAGGCAACACTAAGCTTTCTCATTCATGGAGAATCTAGTTAGCCCTTTGGTTTATCTCATGGGTAGAGCATAAAGTACTTGACAAAATTTGATCTGACAGTTTTACAGTTATGTAACACAGAACAGAAGCTTAAAAACAACAAAAAAGAGGGAGAAGTGAGTGATTTATCATAGCAACCTACATTTCTCTTTAGAGCCTTACCATTTTTCTCTTGCCTTTAATCTATAGGAGACCCACCATAAGGCTAGCAATTTACAGTCATAAGTTAACCAGTATTTTTTTATAAACAATTATAAACATTTAGAGGTGAAAAGGTCCTTAGGATTATCTTGTCCAGTTGCATCACATTACCAATGAGAATATAGAAGCTTAAAGAGGGTAAGTAACTTGCCCAGGGTCACTGATTTAGCTAGTGGCAGAGCTGACCGAGGAACGAGGGTCATACATAGAATTCCAATTCCAATTGCTCTTTTCTTGTGTAATATGTGAATAGAATATTTAATAACAAGGGAATTATTATAATATTTTATGAAATATTTCATATAACCATGACAAATAAGATTTTGCATATCGAGTAAAAATGATAATATTGGAAGGTATATTCAATTGTTTGGATTCCTGTTCTTTTAGCCCTACTAGCAGTATGACATTCTGTTTCTTCATCTATAGACTGGGGCTAATTGAAATATCTCACTGTCTTTTCAATGTGGCTGTCTCTTTAAAGTGTGGTATATGGTCACTTCTCAGTAAATGTTACTTGCTATTGTTAACTGATTTGTAATAATTTCTAAGTTCTTTCATCTTCATTTAATTGCTATCATGTGATCATTTAGCCAATGAAACTGAGCATTGAGAGCAACTGGTAATAAAAGTAATGGATTTAAGGACAGACTTGCAACCCAAAAACATTTTAGAAGGAGTGTATATTGAGGGGGAGGCTTTGGAATTAGAGAAATATTTTCTAATTTTTATTTTATTTTATTTTCAAAGCTTTTATTTATTTATTTGACAGAGAGAGAGATCACAAGTAGTCAGAGAGGCTGGCAAAGGGGGAGAGGGATGCAGGCTTCTCGCTGAGCAGAGAGCCCCATGTAATGCAGGGCTCCATCCCAGGACCCTGGGATCATGACCCGAGCCGCAGGCAGAGACTTAACCCACTGAGCCACCCACGCGCCCCTCTAATTCTTTTCATTTTAAAAACTATGATGCTACAGTTTTTTAAACTGAATTCAGGAGTCACAACTACTTAGTGGCGTTTCTCTCCTCAGTAATGCTCGTTATGCAAATTTCAAAGCTTTTAAATTGTTGGACTGTGGGAAAACAATTATTTTATTTTGTATGTGAATATTATTTAATAATTTAATATTTAAAATTTTAAAAAACAATTTAATAATTATTTTATATATAAAAGTTATTTAATACTATAAGCCCAGAGACAATTATTTTTCTGTTTAAAAATGGCCATCTAAAGAGGTTTAAGAATGAAAGATAATGAATTTCTGTTTTTACACCTTATTTAATTTAGTCATGTTGTACTTGCCTTTGATTTATAATATTATTTTCTTATGGTAAGCACCGCTATACCTATGGTGAAATGTTTTCTAAAATGAATCTAAAAATCTCTAACATAGTGGTGATTTAGGAGATTTTTTTAAGTGGTACTCTGGTGAACATTTAAATGATAATAGTTAGAAATTTTAATGCTGATTAGGAAAATGTATAATCTAATATATCACATTGGTGGTTTTATAGTTAAGGATGAATAAAATGTTTCTTAAAAAGTGAACTGAGAGGGCGCCTGGGTGGCTCAGTCCTTAAGCTTCTGCCTTCCACTCAGGTCATGATCCCAGAGTCCTGGGATCGAGCCCTAGTCAGGTTCCCTCCTCAGTGGGAAGCCTGCTTCTCCCTCTCCCATTCCCCCTGCTTTTGTTCCCTTTCTCGCTGTCTCTCTATCGACTAAATAAATAAAATCTAAAAAAAAAAAAAAAAGAAAAAAGAAAAAGTGAACTAAGGTTCTACGTGCTACAACACAGATAACCTTAAAACCACTATGCTAAGTGAAATAAGCCCTGCACAAGGGGACAGCTATTGTGTGATTCCACTTACAAAGTTCCTGGAGTAGGCAAATTCATAGAGACAAAGAATAGAATGGTGGTTAGTAGGGGATGAGGGAAGAGGGGATGGAGTGGTGATTGTTTAGTGGATACAGAGTTTCTATTTGGGATGGTGAAAAACTTCTGGAAACCAGAGAGTGGTGATGGTTGTACAACAGTGGGGGTATTCTTACTGTCACAGAATTATAAATCTAGGAATAGTTAAAATGTTAAGTGTCCAAGACTGTTTACTGCTTTAAAATTGTCTTATTCTGGGCTGTATCATTGGGCTCTTTATTCAGATCACCTACTTTGCCTATTTATTAGAATTATCTCCAATAATGGAACCAAAAACATGCACTTAAAACATGACATTAGCAGTTAAAATCTTTTAAGAACCATAATTATCATAGTAACAGTAGATGAAAAAGAAAGAAAATCACCAAAAACTTGCTGTTCAGTCCAATTTTTTCCTTCTACGTCCATTTTGTATTCTTTATCTAGAATGCCATATTATTTTGTATGATTCCAATCAACTGTGCTTTTTGTAGGCTAAATTTTTGACAGCTGACTTCAAACATTAAGTTTTATCCTTTAGATTATGATTACCGTTAGCAAATGAAATTTTTATTTTTATTACCTAAAAAAAATTTTTTTTAAAGATTTTTAGGGGCACCTGGGTGCATGAGTCAGTTGGGTGTCCAACTCTTGGTTTTGACTCAGGTCATGATCTGAGGGTAGTGGGATCAACCTGGCCTCTGCTTGTCCCTCTCCTCTGCTCCTCCCCTGCTCACTCTCTCTCTTTCTCTCAAATGAAAAAATCTTTAAAAAAAAATTGAAAGATTTTTAGGTAATCTCTTCAACCAAGGTGGGGCTTGAACTGACAACCCTAAGATCAAGAGTCACATGCGCCACCTACTGAGCCAGTCAGGTGTCCCAGCAAATGAAAAAAAAATATATTTTTTTAAGTAAGCTCGATGCCCAGTTTGGGCTCCCCCATGGGTCTTGAATTCACAACCCTGAGATCAAGGCCTGAGCTGAGATCAAGAGTTAGAACTGACTGAGCCACCCAGCACCCTCAGCAAATGAAATTTTCAAATGTATTTCATTCATAGCTTGTTCTGGTAGCTAATTTTCAAGAAAGTCTTTTGAGTTGGTTTAAGGGAAATGGTGTAATAGTAATCTTTCTTGAGCTTCATCTAGTCAGTGGTATGGTATGTTAAATGTCTCAATATTTTACTTGGAGTTAAGCTGGGATCTTGTCTGTAAGAGAGTAAAAACAATACATTCTCTTAACTAGCATCCTAATTCTCCTTCTTTCATCTACTACTATTTGGTTTATGTTTTTAGTTTTACCTAAAAAATTTTTAAAAGATTTATTTATTTATTTTAGAGCTTGAGAGCAGGGGGATGGGACAGAGGGAGGGAGAATGCTGAAGCAGATTCTCTGCTGAGCTCAGAGCCCCACGCAGGGCTCCATCCTAGGATCCAGAGATCCTGACCTGAGCTGAATTTAAGGAATTACTCATTATTTTCTATTTCATTGCCTATTTTTAATATAAATGAATGTTTCAAAGTTTTCTTATTTTTAAAGATTTTATTTATTTATTTGAGAAACAGTGAGAGAGAGAGAGAGAGAGCATGAAGAGGGAGAGAAGCAAGGCATATAGAGAGGGAGAAGCACGTTCTTGCTGAGCAGGGAACCTGATGTGGGTCTTGATCCCAGGACCCCGAGATCACCACTGGAACAAAGGCAGATGCTCAACCAACTGAGCCACCCAGGCTCCCCACAAAGTTTTCTTTTGATGTCTATTTTCAATCAGCAGGCTCAAATTGTTGTCTGTCTTGGCATAGTGAAAGTGAAGTTTCCTTAAAGTACGGTGTTAAAATAAGTTTTTCCTATGAGTAAAGAAAGATAACATTTCATATGCTGAAACATTTGTCCTGTGTTGGTTGTTGTAGAGGATGGCATTCCCTGTGGATATGCTGGATAATTGCAGTCATGAGGAATTGGAAAATTCTGCTGAAGATTATATGTCAGATCTAAGGTGTGGGGACCCTGAAAACCCTGAATGTTTTTCTCTTCTCAATATTACGGTAAGGTGTGCAAAAATGGTTTTTGTCAACCTTTTAAGTTGAGTTTACACATGAAATCAGTATCTTATTTTTTAATCATTTAAAAATGTTAACTGATCACTTTGGAAATTTGCATCAGAAGACTGTTCAGTAAAATGGTTAAGTACTGATTGGTTAGTACAGCAGCATGATCAAGTCTTAAAAAGACACTCTGTTGGTTATTGCTTAATATTTATATTTTGCCTTTAAAATTACATATAAGTTTTGCTGAGATGCGTTACTATATTTGAGCTAACTAAATTTACTTTAGATTTGGAATTTGTGATTTTAGAAAATTTATAAAATAAATATTAAATATAAAAATTTTATAATATAAAATATAATATAAAATATAAAATATATAATATATATTAAATATATAATATATATTATATATAAATATAATAATATATAATATATAAAATATAATATATAATATATATATAAAATATAATATAAAATATAATATAAAATATAAAATATTATAAAAGTTTATTTAACAAAAAAGTTAAATATGAAAATGCACATGGACCTGATTTTTATATTATAGTAGAACAGGTACTGTGGAGAGGGGACATGTGGAAGCAGTTGATTCTTCTGCTTGTTGATACATCCATTGTATATACTCGTTCTAAGGCTTCTAACAGGATGATACTATTTCCTCATATTATCACCATTCCGATATTCTGTTGCCCACTGGTTGTCATGTCCACACATTCATCTATCACAAGATTCATAAATGGATCGAACTCCCGCAATATTCCTTGGACATGTCTGCCACCATTTAATTTCATTGATAATTTCTTGTCCATAAATTTTTTCAACTCAGGAGAGTGAGCTTTGCTCATGGGGTCTACTTGGGGAGCTCAAAGATGCCTCCAATCAGAATTCATGGCATCCCTCGGGCTCCCGCGGTAGGCCCGGCCTAGAAATTTTTTAATAAAATAATCAAAACATTGAATAACACATTTTCGTGTCACAAATCTTCCTTTTTCTATCAAACTTCCTAATTAGTAAGCATGATATATTGTGATAGAAGGATTGTTAGCATTCCACTGTGAACCAGATAGTTCTCTAGCCTCTCTAGGCCTCAGAGTTTTCTCCTAGAAAATGATGTTTAAAGGCTTCTTTAAAGTCTGTTCTTCTAAAGGCACCATATTTTATAATTATCTGAATTGTAATATCTGTAAATGGGGAATTATGGTCAGATTAATGAAGGTAGAAAATCTTAAAGTATCATATGTATCTCAGTGGAAAAACAAAGGTACCTTTCTGATGTATTTTACTATAAAATGGAATCCCCCCCCCGAAGTGTCTGAATAACAGACGATAAACTATAGTTGTTTTTTAATGAGTTTATGTACCATATCATGCCTTTGTTTTTACTCAAGTGTGTGGCTAGAGCACAGTGGTAATATTTGTTGAAATAAACTTAAATTTTTTTATAATAAAGTTTAAACAAAATTAAACTTAAATTTTTTGCCCCAAGATAGTAAAATTCCTGCAAAAAGGAAGTCTGATTTACTTTTTTTTGATACTAGAAATATCTTCTATGAAATTAAGTTACATAATTAGCATTAATGTAGAGAAAGTTTAATATTTTGAAGCATGGTGTTTTTGTCTTATATTTTCTTAACAGACTTCACTAACCTCTAATCAATTGTCATTTCAGATTCCTATTAGCCTGTCAAATGTAGGCTTTGTACCTCTTTATGGTGGAGATCAGACTGAGAAAATTCTTGCTCTTTTTGCACCTGAGGACTCACTCACAGGTCTCTTTTCTGCTTAATCTTTATCAATTGAGGAACTTTTCTCCAAATAGTTATTAAAAAGTAGCTGCATGAGGGGTGCCTGGGTGGCTCAGTGGGTTAAAGCCTCTGCCTTCGGCTCAGGTCATGATCCCAGAGTCCTGGGATTGGGCCCCCGGCAATCGGCTGGCTATCGGCTGACTCTCGGCTGGCTATCGGCTGGCTATCGGGCTCTCTGCTCAGCGGGGAGCCTGCTTCCTCCTCACTCTGCCTGCCTCTCTGCCTACTTGCGACCTCTGTCAAATAAATAAATAATATCTTTAAAAAAAAAATAGCTGCATGAATTTAAAAAAGTGTTTCAAACTAAATTTTGGAAAATAAAATTTTCACTTGCTTGTAATAGAATGTTTAATGTGTGAAATAAGATAAAGTGGTATAAAATGGGGCCACATTGTATAATAAAGTGTGGGTATATTTAAAGTTACCTGTATAAACTTTTTCAAATAATAATATTATATACTGTAAAGCTTAAGTGTTAATAATCATTTATTCTGTTTTAGCTGTGGCACTTTATCTTGCTGATCAGTGGTGGGCTATTGATGATATTGTGAAAACATCTGTCCCTTCTAGAGAGGGGCTTAAGCAGGTAACAAAATCCTATAATTTAAAAGTGTTTTTTCTGAGATCATTTCACAATATATTTCCTATAGAAACTGATAATTGTTGAAATTATTGAGTACTTCTCCATTTTAGTATAACCGGGTTGTAGTAAACCATTTGAGTTTCATTGTTGTGATGAAACTGGTAGTTTGATTGGGCTTCCTCAATATTACATGGTTCTAAAAGGATAAGAGAATTGGGTGATGAAGAGCGAATACCTACGGGTCACTTGAACTGGAGTGACCTGTACTGACGTTAGCTTCTGATCTCACAGGGTAGAGAAAAAGTTGTTCTGTCTGTATATTTGCCGAGGTTCTCGGTCTCTAGGAGAGACTGACCAGAAAACTTCCCTGTCAGTAGGGCCATGTCAGGTGGTCTATTCAAGTGTGCTAATCAGGGGACCAGAAGGGAGATCCTTAGTAGCATACTGCCAGACTTTCTCCTTTTTTCTGCCGCAGTCATCATTTTATTGTTTACTTAGAGAAGGACACAGTGGCATGCTGATCATTTCTGCCTGCCACAGTTCTGAATGGGAGAACAGTCTGTGAAAGGCAGAATTAAGAAGCAAAGAGTGTGATGATCAAACATGAAAAGTAGTACCCAAGTGTTCAAACAATTAACTGCACATGTATACCATGAAAAACAAGCGAAAAGAGCATATAGGAAGATGATTGGGCTTTAGTTATTTAGAATTAAAACCAAGGTAAGCAAAAAAGCTAATAAAAACACTTAAGCTTATATAGGCAAAGCCCCCACCGTCTTAACAACATCTTCACTGTTGAGTTCTGTAATATCTGCAAGTCCCAGTGGAGAGATTAAGGATGTGGGGCAGTTTCAAGGGAGAGGACTAGAATGGCCAGAGTGCCCAAAATTGCATTAGATGAGTCTTTTCCTTTAGTTGTTCCTGTGGTATGAAATTTAGGGGAATGTCATTTTTTTTTTAGGCTGTGTGGCTCCAGGGTATCAAAGTCTAGTCTTTGGCTGTGGTCAGCTCAGGATGAAGAATTTTATACTGGTCAGAGCTGTTCAGGGAAGGAATGGATTGTCCTGAAAACTAGTGAACTTTGTCATTTCCTATGTTGTTTGGTATCTGACATCCTGTAGTGTGTAGTATGGTTAAGGTGAGAGTAGAGTGTGTATAGTTAATGCTTTTTTCCCCTTCACTCACCTAATTAGAGGGCACTCTTGTGCTTCTTTAAGGAGACGAGGAGAAATAAACCTTATGGATAGAACTCTTGTTTTTAGTAATGAAAGATGTCTATAGGGGAAAACCCCATCATTTGATGTCAGAAAGTTGGTGAGGGGGTCCCAGTGACCTTGTGGCCTTTCATGAAGGAATTGAGGCTCTGTTTCCATTCTGTGATTGCCCCAAGTTTGTTTTTATCAGATTTGCTTGTGCCACTGTCATCACTCATATGATCTAGCAGGAAGGGTCTGTGGGTTTGTGTGTGGAGTGAACTGGTAATTCCTTATAGTTACACAACCAGGACATGACTGTTAAATGAAAATTTTACCTGGAAAGATGAGAAAGGCCTTGCTCACCAAATAAGGTAATTGTTCCTAAAGTCTTAGAGGATTACATGAAGGCCCCCCTCCCCGCTTTTTATTTACTATTGAGGCTAAAGGAGTGAAAAAGTTGAAGCAGTAGAGGTGGTGGGGCAGCAGTTAGCTTGGGGGGAGACCTCAGATCTGGGCAATTGGAAGAAAAAAGAACACACTTGAACACTGAGGAAGAGATGCAAGGCATTGGTACATTAGAATCTCGTTTTACCTGTTTTAGAATTTTGCTGAGGCAGTATTTCATGCATTATATGTGTTTGTAGAAATGGATTATTACTCTTACGAATGATGGGTCTCAGCTGTGTGATGAAGGGTTTAAGAAATCATTTTGAGGGTGCCTGGGTGGCTCAGTGGGTTAAGCCGCTGCCTTCGGCTCGGGTCATGATCTCAGGGTCCTGGGATCGAGTCCCGCATCGGGCTCTCTGCTCAGCGGGGAGCCTGCTTCCCTCTCTCTCTCTGCCTGCCTCTCTGTCTACTTGTGATCTCTCTCTGTCAAATAAATAAAATCTTTAAAAAAAAAAAAGAAATCATTTTGAGTGTATTCAAAGTGCTTTGAATACTAGTCTGAGGTGTGGAAGCAGGGAGCAAGGTAGGTAGCATTCTGAATGGATATATATCATAACTGTTGAGCCTGGTGTCTGACTCTCTTTCCAGGTGAGAACTCTTGGGGAGAGAGTGGTTCTGTATGTTCTGAATCGAATTATTTATAGAAAACAGGAAATGGAGAGAAATGAGATACCATTCCTGTGTCACAGCAGTACTGATTACGCCAAGATTCTTTGGAAGAAAGGAGAGGCCATTGGGTTTTATTCAGTTAAGCCTACAGGTGAGTCTTTAAAAGTTATTTAAACTGTTTATTATGGAAACCTCCTTTTTAGACCCCATACTATATCGGTATCTTTTTGAGTGACTCTTTAGAGTTTAAATTGAGGTGATTTTGCTTAGTATTTCTTGGGAGTATTTCTACCTTTCTCTGTAAATGAGGGTTGTTAGGAAAGTCTTGAACAAAACAAAAATAAACGTTTGACAGAGGGTAAGATTTCTCCATGTATGTACAAAGAAAGTTGTGCATTGAGCCTCCTGTTTGACTGTCTTGACTCCCTACCACATCCTTCCCTTTATTTAAAGTGGTTGATTCCTGCTGTTGTCATTGTTCTGGGCTGCTTTTAAAATAGTTGTCTACCCGTGGACCAAATGCGTAACCTTTGTCTCCCTCACACAGCTGATTCAGCCTGGCTTATTAAGGGCAGTTTTGCTGATTACCATGAAAAACAAAATAATATATTTAGAGAATTCAAATAGCTTTGAAACTGTTAATCTATAAAGTTTGGATTTTTGATCCTAAGACCCAACTATACCCTATTCCTAAAAGATGGGTGGAGCTTCATTCTGCGTTACCTATTTTCCTGCCATTTCTGCTCCCTAGAGGTACTGGAGCCAGAAAGATTTAACTTGCTTTGATCCATGTACACATACACCCTACACCTTATAACCTCACAAAACAAAGTTGGCCTTGTCTGTACCTTGACCAGAAGACCTTTTGTAGAGAACACTCAAATTATTTTCAGCCTTTCTCACATTTTACACCTTGCATATTCAGCCCTTTTGGTCAGATCAAGTCTAAAGATGATACTGAATTCACTGTTGGTATACAGAACAGTTGTGACTGATGCCTTAATCACATAATTAGTACACACTTAAGAATTAGTTAAAAAAAAAAGATAAGAATTAGTGCGTGTAGTTGGTGAGAAGAAGGTCACTTTTTCTCAAAAATAAAAAACCGAGATCTGTATACTTTAAACTGGTTTGCTGTTTTATTTTTTTCCAAGATTCATTTATTTAGTGTAGAGGGAGAGAGAATGCACACCTGGGGGCAGGGTTAGAGGGAGTCAGAGAGAGAGAATCTCAAGCAGAGACTCCCTAATGAGTACAGAGCCTGACATGGGGCTCCATTCACAACCCTAAGATTATGACCTCAGCGGAAATCAAGAGCTGAATGCTCAGACAACTGAGCACCCAGTTACTCCAGCTGATTTGCTGTTTTAATAAATACTTTGGTTCTCCTCTCATTTATTCTTGTATAAATTTGAAGTAGAATCAATAATTTATGTAACTTCAGAAAGATCATTATACAGTGGCAGGAAAATAATGTTGGTTAAATGGAAGCATTTCATAAAAGGCATCAGGTTTTTTTTAATGTTTTAATTAGTTTGGGGTTGAGATATGTTTTAATTGCATTATGCTTTATTTTATACAAGGTGATTCCTAAGGTAATTGGAGGATTCCCCTCCTCCCCCCACTTCTCATACTGGCTCCAGGGGAGTTCTTACTGAAACTAGCTCATAAATGTTCGGAGCACGTATTAGTCTATACTTATTTAGAGCTTAAAGTTACACAGTTAAAGGGCATAGCATTCCTCTTTCAGTATTTCTGATCACTTGATCCAAGAGTGTGCTTCTTTTTCTGTCATGTGCTTTCAGGACTCCTCCTTTCCTCTATGACCTGTCCTCTCTTTTTGCTTGTTGTGGTAGTTAACTAAATTTTATATCCTTGAGTTTCCAAGTGCTACTTGTCTACCACTTTTAGCCCCTTCCATACTTCTCTACTAATTGCATCACCTTCTTACTGCTTATTTTAGTTCTTTCCCACTTTAAGCTCTGGCTGTCATCTATCAGGTAACAGTGGAATTAGGTGTCCTTATACTAGCCTTTGAATTAATAACCATTTAATTCAGTCTAGAAGCATTTTTTTTGAAGGAAACCCAGATGTACAATATTTTGAAAAAAAATGTCCAAAACAAATACTAAAACATTTTGTGGTAGAAGTATTCCTAATATATGTTTCAGGGAAAAAAACTGTACCAGTAACAAAAAGATTAAATCTTTATTAAACAGATTTGGCGTTGAATGAGAGCCTTATGGTATAACTTACTATTTATGATTTTTTTTTTAAAGATTTTTGTTTATTTATCTGGCAGATATAGATCACAAGTAGGCAGAGAGGCGGGCAGAGAGAGATGGAGAAGCAGACTCCCTGCCGAGCAGAGAGCCCAATGTGGGACTCGATCCCAGGACCCTGGGATCATGACCTGAGCCGAAGGCAGAGGCTTTAACCCACTGAGCCACCCAGGCACCCACTATTGATGATTTTTAAATCGAATAGCAAATCATTATATTGGGATCATCATTGGGATGTAAAAAAGAGTTTTGATGTATAAAAGGAGACTGTGGTTCAAATCCCATTAAGTACAATTAAATTTAAGAAACTACATGAGTTCTTTTTAGCCTGAATTAAAGAGATCACTGTGGGGGACTTAGAGATGTTTGTATGTTTTTGGGTTAGGTAGATGTCAGATTATTAAAAATAGTTCTTCACAGTAGATTGTTGTTTGAAATCTGGCACCTGACTCTGAGGGAGCTCACAGAATTGAATAGTGTCATCATAACAAAAGGTTTTCTGGTCTCTTCTATGGTTATTAAGCACTTTGATCTATAAAAAATGGAATAGGATTAATGCTAAATCTTGTCTCCTTCTGGTATTAAGTAATTTTCACTCACGGAATCATAAACCCAAAAAAAAAGTGAGCTCCATTTGTTTCATAGGAGATGTATGTTTATATTTTTGTACAGGTATGCTTTTGCAGTGAAGAATGGTTGGATAATAAATATGTAATCCAGGTATAAAAATACATTACATCAGGATAACATTCTGTAGAATAAGTACAATAGAAATAGAAGTTCAAGAAAAAGGAACATATACATTTTTTTTAAAAGATTTTATTTACTTGACAGAGAGTAAGATAACAAGTAGGCAGAGAGGCAGGCAGAGAGAGGCGGGGGAAGCAGGCTCCCCGCTGAGCAGAAAGCCCGATGTGGGGCTTGATCCCAGGACCCCAAGATCATGACCTGAGCAGAAGGCAGAGGCTTAACCCACTGAGCCACCCAGGCGCCCCGGAACATTACAAAATTCTTGAGTGTTAAGGAGGTTAGTTTAATAGTAAAGGAATAGTTTGTTCAGTGGATGATGAGGGTCATCAAAGTAATAATAGTTTTTAGGGTCCATTTGATACATTTAGAAGAGTGATAAAATAATTTTTATCTTTAATATTGTTTGTTAGCTGAAAAGAGAAAAATAGTGTATTTACATAGAGCATCATGACAGACACCGTGTTTACTAGATCACAGTTAATACCACCCGGAATAAGACCCATCAGTATCATGGACTGCTGATCTATAATGTACTGAGAAGGGCATAACATCTTTTTTTTTTTTTTTTTTAAATTTTTTTTTTTAATTTCTTTTCAGCGTAACAGTATTCATTGTTTTTGCACCACACCCAGTGCTCCATGCAATACGTGCCCTCCCCAATACCCACCATCTTGTCCCCCCAACCTCCTACCCCCAACCCCTTCAAAACCCTCAGGTGGTTTTTCAGTGTCCATAATCTCTCATGGTTCACCTCATAACATCATTTTTGCCCAAAACCCATAACCTTAATTTTATAATGAGAGGACATTAGACAAAGCCAGACTGAAGGTTATCTACAAAATAACTGATTAGTATTCTCTAAAAGTGTCAATATCATGAAAGACGAGGGTGGAGTAATTATCAAAGACCAGAACTAAAAAGATACTAAACTAAATCAGGTGTGGAATCCTGATTGGATTCCGAAACAGAAAAAAAGCATTAGTGGCAAAATTGGTGAATTTTGAATAAGGTCTGTAGTCAGTAGTACTTTGTCAATATTCATTTTCCTGTTTTGATAATAGTACTTTGGTTGTGTAAGATGTTAACATTAGGGAAGCTGAATGAAGGATATATGGGACTCTGTATTTTTGTGACTTTTTTATGAGTCTAAAATTTGTAAGATAGTTTCTTAAAAGTTAAAAGTGGATCATGGAGGCAATCACAGGACTGCTTTTTTTCTTTGCAGTCTAATAGGGCTGTTGTGCTCTAAACAATGTACACATTAAACTTTGATTAAAAACTAAAAGTGAAAATTTAGAAAAGTGGAACTATATCCAGAATCTTACCAGTGTCTACTGCAAAACTGCTGAACTTTTTAAGTCCTCACAGGATCTGTAATGATAAAAGGGCTGTGCTAACTACAGAACTGCTAATGAGAAATGTCCACATGCAGCTGAAAAGCAAGAATCCCCTTTGTTAATTCAGTGGAAATTTTATAACTCTTTGCCCTATGTCAAGAAATAGAGAAGGTGAAAATTTGTGTAAATCAGATACCACATTTAATATAGATGAGCTGGAGGGAACAAAATTGAGGACACCCATTAGCTGCTGTTTTAGAATTGTCCATTATTATCTGGCTTCAAGTATGAACCATCTTGATGAATTCGAAAACCTGTATTTTGTGAAAGCCCAATCAAAGAACCGAACGAAGGAAGCACAGTCTAATAAACAGGTACTGTAAATCATATTGTTGAGTCACAAGGGATTTACAGTCACTGCTAAGAGACACTTTTTTGGTTTTTGTAATCCTCAATTTGAAGTAATTCATATTTAAAGTGTTTTTCCCTCTCATCATTTGCTAGCCAGCTTTCCTTGTGATTTTTAGACTTTTTAACAGAGCTATGTCTGTGGTCTTCCCTCCTTTTGGACAAATCGCTCATGTCCTGTTCACTGAAATTCAGCTCTCTAGCCCTTCTGTTTAAAGATTTTTTAAAAAGGAATATCAAAATTGATATAAAATGATAAAGACTAGTAGTACAGCTAAAGGCAAAACAGTAGAAGTTTGTGTTGGAAGAATGAGGTTATATTGTAGGGTCTTAAGTCTGTCGAGGTGTAATCCTTTTTTTGAAGGAAATGAGCA